TTTTTTTTTTTTTTTCGGTGCCAAGGATTGAACTCAGGTCCTTGCACTTGCAAGGCAGGCCACTGAACCGCTGAGCTAAATCCCCAGCCCTTTTTATCTGCAAAATTTATTCTTAAAAGAATCCTCAGTTCTGTGTTAAGGTTGTTCAGCTGATTGAGTCAGGATCACTCATTATTTGGGACACTTTTTGTTACCTAAACTGATTATAGACTGTAACCTTTTATAAAGTATCTTCACAAAAACATCTAGATTTATTTTTTTGAAAACCTGCTACTAAAGCCTAACCAAGTTGATTCATAAATCTGATCATCATCAAAGTGTCCTGGTACCATCAGTGTTTTTTAAGTCATAGTATTTTTCTTTGTTGGTTTTATATTTTTATGTATTTGTTTAGATACTACATTTTAAAGATGATGAGCTAGTCTGTTTTCATTGTGAATAACAAATGATGCAGAAACTGCTCTAATAGCCCTTTGTATTAAGATATAATTCACCTTTTTTCTGAATTAAGAAAGGTAATTTAAGTTATTCTTTTATGCTTCCCCACTCAGCTTCTTTATTATATTTCTTGCTTAATCTTCAGTTTCTTACTTATATTTGGTTCAGGCTAACATACTACATGATGCTTGGCATTCATCAAATCTCTGTTAGAAAAAAAACTATTATTTCATAGTTATTGTATGTTCACCTTAGGGTCACATTTGTTTTTTATAAATATTGCCACTACATTGCTGATTTATATTTGGCACATTATGATTCCCAAATAGTTTATTCTGTGAAACTCCATTGTTTTTATAACAAACAGAAGTTATTTGGAAGCATGGTCCATTTTCAGAATGAAGAGTCTAATGAGCTCTGGAGAAGCGAGTTTGTATTGGAAGCATTGTTTTGGTGCACACTCCATAGCCTCTGGGAAAAGCAGTGCTATCCTGTCAGTGAAAATGGCTCTGCAGTATTAAAACAATTTCTTAGGAGTTCTGCAGACTCTTGAGGCTTTGGCAGACTTTGGTGGTTTTCATTTCCACATGAAGCCTGACACATTTCAGTGTAGTGCCAAACACTGGAAGTGCCTTACAGATATATTTATGGATATCCATTTGAAATGATTAATTAATGGGACACTTGCATTTCATAAATTCTGATGTTATATTTTATTTTATTTTATTTATTATTATTTTTGTTTTTGGTACCGGGGATCCAACTCATGACCTTGCGCTCGCGAGGCAGCCAGTGGAACCACTGAGCTAAATCACCAGCCCGTGATGTTATATTTTAATATTAGTGCTCCTGGTATGATAATAAACTAGATATAGTTTACAACATGAGCATGTAATTTTCTATATAGAACACATATCTGTTTAGATAATGGGTGTCATCATTTCTAATGGCCACATCATGCCCTTTCTCTAAACAAATAAACATTTTTAGAACATGCCTAAGTGTTAGGTGACATTCAAGATGCTCTTAATGTAATACTGGACAAAACTAACATTATTCCTGCCATCGTGAAACATATTATCTAGAGAAGAAAGATCTTAAAAATGTATGAACATTTGAGTTGAATGCTATAAAAGGAAGCACAGTGTAGAATAGAGTTCATTATAGGAATAGCAGATCAGTTTGGGAATGAAAGGAGTTCTCAAGGAAGGAAGTCATATTTAACTGAGGCCGAAGCCAGGCATGGTGGTGCACGCCTGTAATCCCAGCACTCGTGAGGCTGAGGCAGGAGGATCACTGTGAGTTCGAGACCAGCCTGGGCTACATAGTGAGTTCCGGTTCAGTCTCAACTACATAGTGAGACCCTGTCTCAAAAAAGCCAAAAAAAAAAAAAAAAGAAAAAAAAGAAAGAAAGAGAAAGAAAAACATTAACTGAGGCCCAAAGCATGAAAAATAATAAACACTAATAGTGTCAGGCACTATTCTGTGTCCCTATTTATTCACTCACAACCTCACAGCAACTCTGTGGGGTAGGTACTATTATTTTCTTCCTCTTGCAGAAGAGGAAACTGGCGAATAGGTTAGCAAACTTCCCTAATGTCGCAGGGCTAAGGAATAGTGAAATTGGGGTCTGAGCCAAGAGAAAGATCTGTGCTCTTAACCATTACGTTACAGGGTGGAAATTGGCTGCAAGTGAATAGGCAAGATCATTTCAGGCAATTGGTTTACATGATGAAGAGATTGTTGCAGTAACCTATTGAGATAATATTGGCTTGGACCCAGATTGAAACAGGTGGAGAAAATTATATAGATTCTGGGGATATTTGGGTGATAGATGTAGCGGGACTCTGTGGTTTTAAGAAAGGCAGATGACTCAAGGTTTTGCCTAGAGCAGCTGGCTGGGTAGTGGTGCTAAAGGGGACAGACTTGAAGACAAACATTAAATTCAGTTTTGTTTCACTTGAGTTTAAGGTAACATATTAATGCAAGAACTTTGCTATAGAAGTCTGTAGTTTAGAAGCAAATTCTAAGCTTGACATAGCATTTTCTACAGTATTTTTCTGGCCTTGGAGAAATGAGGAGAAAACATAGCTAGAATCACAAGTAGCAAAACAGGCTATACTTTTGTTTGGGTAGAAGAGGTGATGATCCACAGAAGAGACTAAAGGGAAGGAGCCACTTAGGGATAAGGAAAACTGGCAAAATATGGTAACAAAACAAAGGATTTTCTGGTAAGATTGTCTGTTTTATTCTTTTAGAACTTACTCCCTTTATCTAGTCTCTTGTTAGTGGGTACCTAGGCTGACTCCGTTAGCTATTATAACTAGTGCTGCAGTAAACGTGGTTGTACAAGTATCTCTATGGTACACTGATTTCATTTCCTTTGGATATATACCCAGAAGTAGGAGAGCATTTTTAGTTTTTTGAGGAACCTCCATACTATTCTCCATAATGTCATCGTGTTTTATGTTAACCTGCTTTCCTAGGATCCATTTTGCATAATACCCCAGTTTCTTTTCATCCATACTTCTGAAATAATTTTTCCAAATACCCATCCACTTGTAAAGCCTGTTGTACAAGTGTTAGTCACTAGAGATAATGGATAAGAAAAATGTATGCATCAGAACTATGCTATCTTACTCTTAGATGATTTGTTGGAAAATATAAATTACATCATAATTTTCATGTACCTTTTACAATTTTATATCAGTCTCAGCCCTACCCATGTTGTTGTCTAAGTCCAAGTTAATTTTTTTCCTCCAGTGTCATAATTCAGAACACTTCTACTTTTCTCAAATTTCTAAACTCAGTTTCAAAGATCTGTATTTAAACCAGACTGTCAAAGAAATCTGTACCTAGCTGCTCAGTTTCCCCTTCCTTTCCATATGTCTTTGTATATTATTCCAATACTTTACTTCTACCAGTCTATATCAGAAAAATGATCACTTCTTTTCCCCAAGGTGGTTTTCCATTTTTCTTGAAACATATGAGAAACTCTAGAGAAAACACAAGGTGAAAAGTAATTATTATATTTATGTGATTTTATTGGATGCTTATTCTATATACTTGGAAATGATATGTGTTTGAAAAGCTTTTCTAAAATACTATTTGTATTCTGTATTAATATTTTTGGTAGAATATACTCTTGTTATTAAATTATCATGTTAATCAAATATAAAATGGATTTCATTTTGTTTTCCTCAGAAAGACTAGTGGTGGTGGCTGAACACTGTGAGCGGAGCCTGGAAGATTTGCTTCGAGAAAGGAAACCTGTGAGGTACTGTGTGACAAACAGCAGGAAAAATAAATGAAGAATGGGAACTGGCAGACAGACATTTTGATGAGAAACCACAGGGCTTGGTTTCCTTCTGTTACTTGTTTAATAATACAAACCAGGTGCAAATTTTCACCCTAGGAAATTCATTTCACAAGCTACATAAAAATTCAAAGTTAATATTATATGGTATTCAGATTTTGTGAAATAGGTGTTGTGCGAAGTGCCTAAAAAGCCTCAAAAGAACTTAAGTATATGAAAGTTTGACATCTTCTAGTGTTAAGCATTTAATTGCGTGAGAGAAAGTTTATCTTGTGGAAAGGAACTGCATGGTACTTTGTCACAGGATGCTGGTATTCCTAGGGATACAATGAACTGTGTTGAGCAGGACATTTTGAGGAGGAAGAAGAGGTAATAAAGTGAGGTGTACCACTTAATGATACAGTTTGAATTCAGTTATTTCAATGACTTACTGAATTTACTTTCTGTTTCTTGGTAAGAAGATGGTGGTCTAGACTTTTTTATTACAAGCCCACTGTTAAATAAGCTATTTCATAGACTTTCTGAAATTATCTTGCCATGAATCTTTATGGCATTATAATCATTTCTCTATCTTTCCAAACCTGTGGCTGGAGTTGCTGCAATGTAGGGAAAGGAAGGATCCATAAAAGAGTACCCAGACTATCCCAAGGATGGCCCAGTTTGGATTCCAAAGGAAAATGCACTAAAAGCTAGGGTGATCAGTCCAAAGCAGTTATTAGGAGAACTCACAGAATGCTGCAGCTTACTCTGCAGACTCAAAGCAAGAAAAAATGGTGCTCTCCACAGGCGTATGTGCAGTGAGGGTCAGGACCTGGAGTTTACATGCATATTTAAGGTATTTGGATCCAGGGCTGAGGCCATTTTCTTCCTGGGTTTTGGGCAACATCCTGAATACCCTTGTCAATGCTAGGGAATGTTCAGAGGCTTGACTTGGACAGAAGCCTGCTAGGAAAAACCTGCAGCTGGCTGGGTCACTGAGCAGTTAGTCCACTCTGATTTGTGTTTAGGGCACAAAAATAAATTGAGGGTGAGGGACAGGTAGATGAAGAACTAGGGGAATTGTCCTAGTTTTCAAAACTAATCTTACCCTCATTGATAACACTTTGCCTTCACCACAATATTCTGGATAAGAATAGACTTTTTCCAAGGGGAATGCCGGGTGAGGTGGCACATACCTGTAATCCTAGCACTCACGAGCCTTAGGCAGGAGGATCGCTCCAAGTTTAAGACCAGCCTGGGCTACATAGTCATTTCAAGGCCAGCCTGAACTAGTGAGACCCTGTCTTAAAAACAAAAATTAAATTAAAACTTTTCCAAAGGGGGGAAGGTGTATCTTGCTAAATGGCAATAATTTTATAGAAGCTAAACAAGTAAATTGAATGAAAGAACTTTCTTGGTAGCTGGACATAGTGGTGCATGCTGGTAATCTTAGCACTCTGGGAGGCTCAGACAGAAAGATTGCAAGTTCAAGTCCAGCCTAGGCAACTTAGTGACTTTTATGGTTTATGTCTAGATGTCCTCCCAAAGCTTCATGTACTCATAGGTGGAGTTTCTGAAGGGTAATTGGACTATGGGGCGTATAGCTGGATGTGTAGTTAATAGAGGGGACCTGGTCCCAAGACATAGATCACTGGGGATGTGACCTCCCTCACAGTGCCTCCTTTGACTGTGCTTCCTACCACAGCTCTCCTCCACCAACCCTTTCACTATGACCTGCCTGGCTCGGAGCCAGACCACCACAGCCTGAATCCTCTATAAAATAAGAGTAAGTGAAGCCCTTCTCCTTTAAGTTACAGGTGTTAAGTACTTTATCCCAGTGATGAGAAAAGTGACTGAGACCATGATATAGCAAGACCCGCTCTCAAAGAGAGAACATAAAAACACAGTGGGGATGTAGCTCAATGAGAAGGCCCTGGATTCAGTTCAAAGTACAATAAATAGCAAAAAGCCCAGAAGGGCTCAGTGGCACCGTGCCTGCCTTGTAAGTACAAGATCCTGAATTTGATCCCCAGTACCACACACACGCACACAAAACCCAGAAGAACTTTGCTTCATGCTTTAAATGACTTGGTTTTGAGTGACCTCTTGAATGAAAAAAGCGAATGACCCGTGTGCAGTGGTGTATCTGACCTGTGGCCACCAGGCAGGATGCATCTGTGTTATAATAAGAAAATGCAGAAGCACTTTTTGTTTCTAAGCATCATATTATAGGTTTTCTACATGGCCAAAGTCAGTTCATCTTCACTCAGTACAGTGCAGTGTGCTGTGAGCAAAGGATGGCCTAGAGACAGACTATCTAAAGACTACTCTAGGGTCCAGGATTTGGCCCAGTGGTTCTGCTGCCTGCCTCCTAAGCACAAGGTCCCAAGTTTGATCCTGGGTACAAAAAAAAAAAAAAAAGAGACTACTCTAGGTATTAAAGCAACTTTTGTATATGTTAGAAATATAGCTTAACCTTATTTAGTGACTGTGCTTTCATAGTTACAGTTTTTGTAATACCCTAAGGCAGTTCCAAAGTTTGATCCTGGGTAAAAAAAAAAAAAAAAAAGAGACTACTCTAGGTATTAAAGCAACTTTTGTATATGTTAGAAATATAGCTTAACCTTATTTAGTGACTGTGCTTTCATAGTTACAGTTTTTGTAATTCACCAATCTTTGATTTTTTTAAAAGGATATGCAATATTATTTTTTGCTCACTAGTTCATATTTATGCTGTAATTGATAGGCCACTTATCCTATAAAGAATTTTCAGTGAAAGCTAATTGACATTAAGATTAAAACCTAATTGGAGCTACATCTTTGAAGAAAATAATATTGTAACGAAGCCTGGGTTAAATTTGTATAAAGATTTACAACATAATATTTATGGTATAAAAGCTGCTAAGTAGGCAGCTATGCCTAAACTCCTTAATCATTTTTCAGATCTGTAAAACAAGGAATTTTAATACAGGAGTAGCTTTAGTGCGAACTGCTGTCAGCTTAATATCTTAATATTCATTACACCGGATAATATTGTATTGATCAATTGTTCTTATAAATTTTTTCATATTTTCTTATGCTAATATATGAAAGTACTATTTTATTTAAAGGGTAGATTCCTTGACTAAATTTCCTATGACAAATATCACTGCAGAACTTCAGTGCAGTAAGTCCCGACTTAGGAACATTTGAGTTGCCAACTGTCATGGGGATACTGTATAAGGTTCACAGGTGTACTGTATCAGACTCACTTTGTCAGATTACAAATGAATGTGACTTAGGGGTGTTCTCCCGGAGTGGAACTTGTTTGTGAGTTGGGACTTACTGTACTATCATTTAAAATGCTAAAAGTAGGTCAAAATATCATTTTATGACCTGGTCATTCCACTCCAAGACAGAGGCCCTCTTAAGTTATGTACTCTAGAGTCTTATTTACCTCACTTTAGTCACAGCCCTGCCTAGGTATTTAGGAGAAGAACAAAAAATGTGTCCACCAAAAGCTTTGCAAGACAGTGTTCCCCAGAAACATCATTCAGTGTAGCTCCAAACTGGTATGAACGTAAATGTCCATTAATGAGCTGTTAACATTATAAAGGAGGGAACTATAGATGAACTTTGAAACTCTTATGCTGAACAAAGAAGCCAGACATAAAGGATTACATTCTTCCATTTATGTGGCATTCCAGAGCAGTCAGTATTTATCAATGATGACAGAAAAACAGTGCTTGATTTGGTTGGTAGAGGGAAGAATGTAAGAACTAACTCAAAAAAGTCTTGCAGGGTACTTTTGAGATGATGGAAATTTCTCACATCTTGATCAGGTGTTATTTTATATGATGTATGCTTCTGTCAAAACTCACTGAATATATATATTTCACTCAAGTATTTCACTCAAAATATTCTAAATATTGAATAATTTCAGTTATTTTTTAGTTAATATTAATGCTGTTTAGTTTTTTAGTTAATATTAATGTTAGTTTTAGTTAATATTAATGTTCTCAGTTTTAAAAAATAATGCTGAGTTATTTACTTGGCTTGGGCTTTGAATGCCTCATAAAGAAACATGTTGTTAATGAAGGTGCTCAAACCAGGGGCTTGCTTACTTGAATTTCTTGTTTTTAGAAGAGATGGTATGAACATGAATTTGTTATTGCTTACCTGACTATCCCTGATCCCCATTTCTAGTGGTTCAACATTACTTCGTGTAATTTCTCTGGGTTGGGAATTCAGGAACGTTCTAGTTTAGGATGTTGGCTACGAGTTGCAGTCAAGATACAGGCTCGGATTTCAGTCTTCGGCAAGTTTGACTGGGGGTGGTGGTTGGTCCCTAAGACAGCTCACTCAAAAGATGGGGCAAGTTTTTAAAAGAAGCTTTGGTTCTTCCTTCTGTTGAGCCACAGGCCACCTGAGCATTCTCAGAGTGAGCAATAGTAAGAGAGTAAAGACAGCAAAGTAGAACCTGAAGTGCCCTTTGTGGCCTAGCCTCAAAACCATACTGTCATTTCCACAGCACCCTGTGGTTGCACAGGTCGGCTATTAGCTCTGTTCACTGTGTGAGGGGATGACTCGGGAATATGAATTCGAAAGTCAGGAGTAGTCTGGGACCATCTTGAGGCCGGCTAACACATGAATCCTAGAGATTGTATGAGGACTGTTATAAGAAATGCTAAAACAGCATTAATATTAACTGAAAAATAACTGAAATTATTCAATATTTAGAATACTTCGAACCAGAGAAGGGAAGGGGTTTGTACTACAAAGATAGGGTGAAGTGTTAAGGGAGTATTCCTAAGTACCAGGATGGGATAGGGTCTTAATGGGCATAGCTGTGCCATGGTAAGAATTCAGCTGCATCCCAAAGTGCATGTTGGCTGTGGTCTCGCTTGAGTTTCAGAGGACTCCGAAAGACATCACAAAGGGCCGTGGTACGGAGGAAGGCCATATTGCTAGAATGTTCCCGCTGATTTCCACATCTCTTTCTA